AAAAAAACTGCAAAAAGGTATAATTAAAAAACACAAGAGATAAACGAAAATGTTTTCAAGAATATTCAAATCATCCAAAGGAAGGTAGAGAAAGATCAGAGGAACAGAAGACAGGTGGCAAGTACTAAACAAATAATATAATGGTGTCTACAATTTTATCCAGCCACATCAGTATTTACATTATATGTTAATGGGCCATTACTTTAATTAAAGTAATGAATGAAAAGAAGCATGGTACCTACAACTACAAAGTATATCTATAAGACATGTACTTTAACTTATAGACCCAAGTTGAAAATACAGGAATGAAAAGAGATATCCCTGGAAAACAATAAAAGAACACTAGAGTTGCTAAGAGCCAAGTATATGATGCATGGCATTTTTGGTCGAAAGGTGACGCCAGCTAGCCCTTGAGATGATATGATTATGTTAAGATTTGCATTCATATGGATATTGGACTCCTGCTGTTCACCTAGGCCGGCTACGGGACTCCTGGAGAGTTCCCATTGGTTGGGGAAGTACAGTAGGAGGGAGTTCCGGGGGAGGAGCTCTCTCTGCGGTCCGGGAGGAGGCCGCGTGGGTGGAAAAAATCTTCCCGGGCGGTACTGGATATTGGCGGCAGTTTCAAAAAATAAACTTTGTTCCTGCTTGAGTGGCTCGTGATTTTGTGCCCAGCCAGACTGCGGCATAGAGTGGCTATATTGATATCAGATAATATAAATATCAAGATGAAGATTATTACCAAAGGACATTTTCTAATGTTAAAGTGGTCAATTCATCAAGGAGACAAAATATTCATAAATGTGTATATATCTAATATAATTCTTTGAGACACATGAAGAAAGAATTAATAAAGTTAAAAGTAGAAGACAATTCCACAGAGTAGATTTTTGACAACTATTGCTCAGCAATGGGACAAAAATTCAGAAAAGACATAAATGACCTAAACTTAATGGTTACCTATGGGGTGCTACATTAACATTCAGTACTCATAGTATGTTCATCAATATAGACAGAATGATGGGCTATATAAATTAAATAATACTTGTAAGTAACCTACAGGTTAAAGAAAAAAAATCAGAAGGGAAGTTAGAAAATATTTTGAATCTGCATCCTGATTTTGGCACTGAAAATATTCATGACCTTGGACAACTGATTTGGATTGTTAAGTCTCAGTTTCTTCATCAGTGGAGATATTAACTTTCACAGCATTATTGGTGAAGATCAAATGAAAGAACAGACATAAAACACTTAGCACAATTCCTGGCATAATAAAAGTATATAATTTCATTGTCCATGATTGTAAGCCATGACTGAGGGTGTTCAGGCATTCCTCTAGGGGTTTCTGTTATTCTATCATTCTGCCTTTGAATGTTCCCCAGAGGGTCCAAGCCACATAATTCTCTCTTTTAATCTCTTTCTTGATACATTTCTTCACCTTATCTGATTTAGTTGTATCTCCTCATTACATGACTGTACTGTAAATTGGAAGAATTAATGTAAACACAGAATACTATCACTGGAATACATATATTGACTTGAAGATTGTTATGGTTTGGATATAAGGTGTCCTCCAAAAGCTCATGTGTGAGACAATGCAAGAAGAGGTTTAGTTATATCTCTTTGCAGTATTTTTTTTTCCCTAGAACTGGGGATTGAACCCAGGCACTTTATCTGAACTACAGAAGATTTAGAGGAGAATGATTGGATTGTGAGATTCTTAACCCAATCTGTGAATTAGTCCCCTGATGGGATTAACTGAGTGGTAACTGCAGGCAGGTGGGGAGTGGCTGGAGTAAGTGGGTTATTGGCGGGGGGTGTACCTTTGGGGGATATATTTTGTGTCTGGTGAGTGGAGTCTCTCTCTGCTTCCTGATCATCATGTAAGCTGCCACATTCATCTGGCATGCGGTGCTGTCTTACCTTGATCCCTGAGGAATGGAGCCAGCCTCCTATGGACTGAGACCTCTGAAGCTGTGAGCTCCCAAATAAAGTTTACCCGCCTCTACAATTGTTTTTGTCAGGTGTTTTACTCACAGCAATGAAAAAGCTGACCAAACCTAGGATAATGTTCCCATCTCCAGGCCCCCATCTATTTTAGGTTTCTGATAGTCCTAGTTCAATCATTGAAAAGATGCCAGAAGCTCATCTCCTCAGACCTGTCATTTGAGAGTTAAGAGTTCATCACACTGGACTTCCATTTCCAGGTATCAAAAACAATTTGGAGTACACAGAACAACTAGTCTTTCCTTCCCCCACCCCCCAACTCATTGTGCAAACTAAACAAGGATTTTTATGTCTTTAGTTCTTAAGGTATCTCCTTTTAAACACACTTAATAATAACTACCTCACAGGAACATTGGTGTCTAATTAATTACTGTTTGTTAACTGCTTTGGGATTTTCCTCTGGAAAGGGAAATGTGGGTACAGACAGTACTATCATCGAGAGAGCCCTGCATCGTGGTTTATTGAATGGAGGAAGTGTCTGCACATAATCGAATTAATCACACTGCTAGGGGCTTATGCTGTAATTATTGAAACCCATGAAGTCTGAGGAAAGTAATCAGTCTATTATTTTGAGATTGAATAATTAAATCCAGAGCGCCTCAGTGTTTTTCCAAGTATCTTCTTTTTTCAGTTGACATTTCGGCTCTCAATCTCACTTATTGTATCAACTAGATTTGTGTCTATTTATCTCATGTCATGCAGAATTCATTATAAAATAAAATGAAGAATTTTTACAAATATTTTAAAGTAATCTAGGACTACCCCCCCAAAACAAAACAAAATAAAACAATATCAACAAAAAAATACTCAACCTAATAAGAAGGTAAGGGAAATAGCACTTATTGAGGGTCTGCACTGTGTTATGTCTGTGAGCACCACACACATAGGATCTAATTTTTCCCCAAACACATGGTGAAGCTGGGATAATCACCATTTTATGGGTGAGGAAACAAGCACAGGGAGGTAAAATAACTTATTGGAGGTCATAAGCGATCAAACGGCAGAGCCAGTATTTGAACATACTGCTCTGATTCTAAGACTCATGCTCTTTTCACAAGTAGTAGTAACTGCCCATGTCAATGTAGCCTGCAAGAAAGTGTGTCATTCTTTTTTCTTTTTTTTTTCCTAAGCCAGTGTGACACATACCTTCAGTGTCTTATTGTGTCTCTGCAGCTCTCGGCACAGACTCTCCAGTTTGCTTCGAGCCAGGATAGCTCTGCTGTGTTCGCTTTGTAATTGGTCCTTTTCTTTCTGGATTTGCATCTGTTTCTTTTGTAGGACCTTTAACTTCTTTTGCTCTGTGCGATGTTCATCCAGCTAGGCATGGGGATACGCATGAGAAAGAAAATAACAGAAACTGGGTAGGAATGCTTTGCAGTTGATAGAAAAGGATAAAATCTAGAGACCATTCTGTGGTTGTTCAGAAACTTTTTTTTTTTTTTGCTATTATCTGTCCCTCTGGAAACACATGAATTTCACAAATGTTGCCTTTGTAATATTTGTAGATATAGTTTTTAGAGCATATTTATGTTTTACATTACAATTAGTAGTATCTTTTTACTTTGAATTTTTTGGTAGTCTAAAAATATTTTTCTTGAGTTTATTTAGTGGTGCCAGAGACAAGATAGAAAGACATATCTCAGAATCTGGAAACTGGCAGAATTCATAGCAAAACCTGTATTCATACAATGGTCAACAGTTTGTCTGCTTGGATTATATTTCATTTTTCACAAAACAAACTTCCAGTGCTATTTTTAAAATAGGAAAGAGAAAAGCAGTCTTCTGGTAAGTAGAAGATAAAGTTGTCTTCTTTATAACTTTGGACTTTGAGTGTAGGAAGGAGAATAGAAAGTATCCCTCAACTACCTAAGGACTGACAGTTTTCCACCATAGCATTGGGAATAGCCAGTGCACAGCTCAACAGCATGAAAGGCAAGTTTCTGTAATTTACCCTGCTCCCCACCCATCCCTGCTCACCCACTCCATGCCTACTGAAAACACATCATGGTGCATGTTATTTGCGAACCCAGGTAAGCTCTTCTCACGCCCCTCTAGAAACTACAACTAAACTACCAGGAGTGGCTTGTGAAATGAAACCAGTTTACCCCCTGTTCTTTTCATCTTGGAATGGTAAAATTTTAGATAGGGTTGACAGGTGAAATACAGGACACTCAGTTACATTTACATTTCAGATGAATAAGGAATAAGTTTTTAGTATAAATATATCCCAAATACTGGTGGGATACACTTTTGCCAAAAAAAAAAAAAATGTTACAAATGAAATGTAAATTTAACTGTGTGTACTGAATTTTTACTTGCAAAATCTGGAAGCATTATTTTGGAATCCTATCTCAGTGGAGGAGTATGGGGACCAAACTCTACAAGCTACCAGAGAGAGACTAGCTCAATTGGTTGAGGGCTTGTCTCACAAGCACAAGGCCCTGGGTTCAATCCCCAGCACGAGAGAGAGAGAGAGAGAGAGAGAGAGAGAGAGAGAGAGAGAGAGAGACTAGCAGATTCTAGGAGGATTCTAGGAATGTCAATCTGAAACTGACCATTGGTGTGGTCATGTTGAAGCAGCATCCCTTTTTCTAAAGATCATTGCTTAGTTAGACTCAGTTCTCTTAGGGTCTGAATAGAGTGAAGGTACTAGTCCTAATAATGACCTTGCTGGCTAGCAGAAAGGAAAAGCCCTGGAGAGCCCTTGGTGCTTCTAGACCCCAGCTATTCCTGGTGTCTCAAAGAGCTTGACACAAATGGGTACAAATTTCACACAAGCCATGATCTGTGCCTCAGTTTCCCTCTTTTTAAAAGACATTTGTGTTTTCTGAGGTACATGAACAGCACTCTATCACAATTTCTTCCGTTTACATTTTGATTTTTCCTCCCTTTTTCCTCCTACATTGAAATAACCATCTATAAACCCTCAGTTAAGCCAAAGATATGTGTATTTGATGTTCTACCTTCATACTCATGTGCAATTTCTACTTAGTAGTGGGAATTAGCATTGGAAAAACACAAGAGCCATGCTACTAAAAATACTGATTGCCGCCTTGGAAAGGCAGTGATCTTCTATTATGTTTCTCATGCTAAACTTCTGTTTACAGAATAGATGTTGTACTTTCAGGTCACACCATTGTTATTAGACAGTGGTGAAATTTCCCATGCTTATATTTAAATTTTAAATGACATATTCTTCCTTTAAATTTATATATTGTTATTATTGTCATCACCATTATGATTTAGACTACCTTTTAAAGGTTAAATCATATTACAGGGCTTCTCAGCTTCATCACTATTGACACAATGATCCACATAATTTTTTATTGGGCAATATCTTGTCCATTGTTGGTGGTTTAGTACCATCCTTGGCCCCTGTGCACTATATGCTAATAATTCTATCCCCACTTTGACTTTCAAGTCTATATTCGGACAGATGCCTGTTGTCCCTTGATGGACAAAACTTTCCATTTGGAGAACACTGTCCTAATGTGGCTTTATGTGAGTGTCAGAAGGAAGGTACCCTGCATGTATTTTTTAAGCTGGAAAAGAGATGATTTGTGCTCACTCATTGACTATTTACCATTTTAGTTATACTGCAAGATCATACAAATCTAAAATTTAAATATATTTTACTTTGATCTAAGTGAAACTTCTTTTTAATATAAAATCTCTTTCTGATCTTTTTTAAAAAATTTAGTATGTGGATAATTTTATTGAAATAATTCAGATTTATGTGAATGCATATGAATGCATGGAACTTCTTAATAAATGAAAGTAAACATATTGCAACTAAGTCAACCTTAGCTAAATGCTGGGTTTTGTGATTTAACAATGCACCTAAGCATGGTTTTTCTGTACAATCGTAACAGGCATATAGGATTTTATCTGCAATCTCTCTCTTTTAAAAAAGTAAAATTAATACCAAATGCTAAATTAGAATTGCTTTAATGATGTTGTTTTAACTACCTAAAAGTTAAAAAAAAATTGCAGAAACTGTTTTTCTTAGGCCATTTCTTAATTTAGTCATGTGTCCTTATTTATTAATGAACTTACCCTTATTTATTAATGAATACAATGGTGGATAATATTACAGGATTCAGGCTATAAGGATGAGTGAACTAAAGTATCAGTTTGATTCAGAGCTTTGAAATTTATGATTTATTCCATGTTAACAATGATGTTTCAGATGTTTTCTACATTAATATCCAAATTAATGAGCAAGGAAATAGGCTTTCTTCTCCAAGTAAAAAATTAAAATTCTTCATGTTTTTTCCATCCTGAAAAAGAAATGTAATGAATTTTGGAGAGCAAATTTTTTCCTTACTCACTTTTTCTGGGAATGATATTTGGAGTTTTAAAGTTTGTTATAGGAGAATAAACAAATGCCAAAGTATAGTAATTAAGGTTTGAATTGAGTTAGATTTCCTAGCAAATAACCTCTGTGGAGATGACTGCTTGACTAGGAAGATGAGTGGGTTCAGGTGGTCGTTGGGGCCAAGGTGAACAACCCTGACTCGTGGAGGAATCTTGGTCAGGCTGGAGAAGTGATTCTTCTCCAATACACTACTGTGGTAATGCAGCACTGTAAGTGACATCCTGTGCTGATTCAGAATGCAACCCAGTAAAGCCAAGTACAGAACGGGGCTCTAGAAACCAAACAAGAATGGCCTTGGTATGAGTAGGTAAGTTGAAGGGGCAGCCGGGATCTATTTCTTTCTAGTTTCTTATTGAAACTAGAGATATTGCCCTCACTGAGCCCTCCTCTTTTCTCTTATTGGCCAGTTCTAAAGCCTGAGAAGAGGATGCCATTCAACAACTCTTGCATAACTTGGTTTGGCTTCCCTTGATTCTGGGGCCCTGTTGAGAGGAAGGCTGCCAGGGGAGGACCTGGAAGTAGGCACAGAACAATTCTTATGGAATGACTACTTTGCTATTGTAGGGGAGGAGAGAAGAAGGAGAAATAGAGAAATGAGCCATACCAGACAAGAGTGTGCCATAAACTGAGGGGTAGCATTAATTCAACTCTCTGCCTTCCTTCCTTTGTTCCTTGGAGATATGACTGAATAATAGTTTAAGATTTATTTATCCTTATGTTGAGTATATTTCTGCTTTATTCTAAAGTTTAAAAGAACTTAAAAATATCCATGATTTTCAATTATCTGTACTTTTCTCTCATTCCCAAAATTATGCACATAGGTGAAGGTAGATTCTGATTCTATCCTTTTTCTTTCTTTTACTGTTATTTATCAATTTTTCTTTTCCTTAAAAAATTCTTCTTTTATGAATTTTAGTTTTGATATTGCTGATCAAAAAAAAAAAAAAAAGAGCCAATCAAAGATCTTACCAATTCAGCATACTTCTTGAGTAAAAAATCAAGCTTTTCTTCAGGTGTCTGTAGCTTGTTCAGATTTTGCATTAGCAAGTTGGCTTCTTTGCCTTAAAAAAGGGCATAGAGGAGTGTTACTTAAAAAATAAGTGTTGAGCTTGTAGTCAGTTGATGTGGACTGGTATCTCAGATTGGTTACTTGCAAGTTACTACCAACATTGACCAAGTTACTAACCTTTCTAAACCTCAGATACAATTTTCTTTCTTTTTTTGGGAGGGAGATATTGGGGATTGAACTCAAGGGCACCAGACTACTGAGCTACATCCCCAGCCCTATTTTGGGTTTTATTTAGACAGAGGGTGTCACTGAATTGCTTAGTGCCCACTATTGCTGAGGCTGGCTTGAACTCATGATCCTCCTGCCTCAGCCTCCTTTTCCTATACAAAAGGATGACACCTACCTCATAGAGTGAGGATTATGATTAGCTGAGAAGTTTATGAAAAATGCGTGCTACAAGTTCATGTCATGGTAAACTCTCAATGTTTGCTATAAGAATAATGCCCAAATTTTCATCTTAAGAATTCATTCTTGTTACTTTCTGCCTTGTATTCTTAATATTCAAAAGACACATTATGTATCAAAATACTGACTTATGAAAGAATAAATCACCTATTTTCCTACTTTCATAAGAAAGAAGCAAAACAACAAGTCAAAATTCCTGGTTAGCATGAAAAGGCCAGTATCAACACATGGAATTGCTAAAATTACAATTAAAAGCAGAGAAACTTGACAGTGTAGTGTGCTCATTTACTGACCCCCGTCCATATTCTTTTAGTATCCCTTTCTCCTCTATTTGCTCACAAACCTGTTCTATGATCATATATCCTATTGTATGTAATGTAAACTCTAATCATATATCCCACCAAACAGAATAAGATCAAGATAGAAGGAAAACATTCGAAACATGGAAGAACTTTTCCACAGTTGTTTTTTTGTCTCCATGATTCTGGACTTGGGCTTCTCAGGCTTTCCTTTGCCCCACCCAGGCCTTATTAATCTCTGATGGCAGTTTCATTTTCTGCTCACAATTGGACTTGGTGCTACATTTTAAAACTAATCTGTCCATGATTATTTAACAGGGATTCTCAGGGTTTTCAAAGTGGGGTGGTCAAACCAACCAATAGAGCCCATGTTTTCTGACACAAATTCACACTAGAATGTTAACCAATTTTGACAACCTATTCCTCAAGAACCTACATTTCATCTTGGCTAGAATATCTGCTTCCATACCGGACAGGCAAATGTGTGATGGAATTAGGGTTGCCAAGAGGAACTATGGGCATGGAATATGTACTAAAAAATTATTAACTGTTAACCTGAAATTCAAAGTTTACTGGGCATATTTTATTTTTATTTACTTAATCTGGCAACCTTACATGCAATTTAAGAATTTTAGGTCTAGAAGAAACTTCAAAGAGTATCCAGACTAACTGGTTTACTTTTATTGATAAAGTATCTAAGACTCAGAAAAAAACCAAAGTTATATAATTAGTGCTGGCATGACCAAGGCTTGAATCCAAGGTTACTCTTCTTGTTCTAAATCACTGTACTCCAATGGGGAATTTGGATTCTAGGGAAACCCAGAGAAATAAAAGAAAATTCTTTTGAAATAAAGAAAAATGACCTCATTCCCAGCCATTAGTTTTTATCTGTCTTTGCCCAGTGAATTAATTCAGATTAGAGACACAGCCTAAGACAAGGGAGAAGGTGTGCGAGAGTGGGGCCTCTCATCTCCTCATTTATAGCCTGTGGCATGATGCTTTCCTTTGCAATTGATAGTCACTGCTGCCGCACCCTTACTGGATGCATGATTTCAGTTACTCCTCTAGCATCTGGGATGATCTGCACCGTTGACTTTAGACCAGGAAATTGAACAACTACTCTCCGGGTTATTGTTACTCATTAAAGGCAAGTGATTACAGTAGATCAGGCCTAGCAGTGTTTGGCCAATGGCAAGTGCTCAGTAAACATTGATAATAATAGGATAAAACAAAGCCAACTATCTCACACTGGTATCATGTGAATACTACAACTAGAGGAAAGACAGGTCTTATTCTCACCTGTGACTTTCAGTGTATGCTGGGACACCTCTCATTTTGAGTACTGACAAATGAAATCATTACTTGCTTTATTTGGTGGAGTTAGAAACAATTGAGTAAGTCCAGTGGTTCTGTCTCCCCATTAAGAATCTCTCTCCTTAGGTTTTGTTTTCAGTAGCTGTACAGACAGTCTATTGTTGCTATTGTTTATTTAACCTTTGTATTCATTAAGGCCCTTTCTGCTCTAAAAGTCATTATTTTGTATAGGTTAACATTCAGATATATCAATACACCTTTGAAAATTATTCTTTCCTTTAACAAAAACAAAAAATTCAACAAATTTGAGATAGAGTATGTGCCCAATTTATAAATTTGTGACATCAGAGACCTTAGGTTTTAAACTTGAATTGTTTTTGTTTGACTAGGATATTGTGTGCATAACAGAGGAAGAGGGGAATAGCTAGAGAATTGCTTATCCTCTAAGAAAAGCTATAATTACATTCCCATGGAAACAGGGTCATTTGCTGACACAGTTAGATACAGAGCAAAAACAACTGACTTGACTGTGAAACATCGTATCAGGAGGGGGATCACCTGCCTCCTCTTTGATGTGTCATTCCACAGCAAGCTTTACTTCTTCCCCATTACAGCTGGGGAAGGCATATGGCTATCACACTGCAAAAGGCTCTGTTTTGCCACAATAAAACCCACTATTCTATGTAATTAATATGCACCAAGAGGAAACATAAAAATTAAAATTAAAGAGCAGGAAAATCATAACAAAGAAAATGCTAGGTTGGATAGAAGTCTACATGAAAGTTGAACCACCTGGGCAGCTAGAGTGTCACATGTGGCTGTGGTCACTGGCACAATTATACTGGAATATGAAGGTATTATTTTCACATCAAAGAAATTAAAAATCTTAAATTAAGACAACTGAACCAGCTGTAGCAATGTGGGCCAGAATTTTTCCTGAACTTCTAGCATAGTAATGATTGTTTATACTAAATATAGTGGACAACTTATGTAGATTTGATGTGTTCAAACTTCCAAAACTATGTTTTGTCTTTTCCAAAATTATTTTTTTGATCTTTGGGACCAAAATTTTGTCTTGAATACATATTTGTGTGCCTTTGTATCCTCTTCCTGGTTTCCATATGTTGTGATCAAAACTTACAACAGTAATATTATAAACATTCTTTCAATGTTAGACCCAAATTGACATTTCAATATTAATTGTCCCTAATAATATAATTTTAAAAATAACATATGTAAGACAAATAATTACTGAGCATCTATGCATATCTTTTCAAGGAAATAAGCTTCATATATCTAGAGAATAGGAAGGATAATGTAGTTAAATTCACACCGGACTAAAAAGAGGAGACATGAGTTCTAAAACTGACTCTGTCATTGTTGAGCAACCTTTCTTTGCATTTTTTACACCCTCAATTTTCTTGTTTATAAGATTAGTGGGTTAACTCAATGGATTCTGAGTTTAGTCCTAGAGTAACCCCCCTTTTTTTGTCATACTCTTAAACTCTCTGCATTTTAATTTCCCTGTGTATAAAATTAGTTGACTAGATGGATTCTGAGCTCGTATCAGCTTTGTTTTTCTCCCAGGTTTATACTTAAAACCTATGACTTCCTAGTCAGTCAGTTATAACCAAAGTATTAGAAGGTATATTATATATTATGATTGTCTTAATCTTATTATTTTGTGGTACTTTTGCAGTCCATGTAAGGTTGTCAAAGAAATGATTACTAAATCACTATGACCCTGAAGGGTGGGGTGGGGAAGCATGGGGGATACTTTAGATGTTAACAAGACACTTGTGGAAACTTTAACATAGTATCATATAATGGGGAATCTTTTTGTTTGTTTGTTTGTTTGTTTGTTTGTTTTTCTTTGGATGCCTAAGGGAAAGAAATTCTACCAGCTAAAGGAATTTTTAAATGCTCCCCAACTGCTTTAATGTGGGTGCATTGACTGTGGAGAATAAGCATCCTCTATGGGAAAAGCAAGTCCTTTATGTTTGGCTTTAGACACATTTCCAACTTACTCAGGGTGTCCTGGGGTAAAAAGGTCTTTCTGGTTTAATAAGTTTAGGAAATGATGGAATCTGTGCCCATCACTATTTGGGATTTTCATTGTGTATGTGTATATCGGAGATCAGAAAATTCTGGCATTGAGGAAACTGTTTAATTTTGTCTGAAAAATCATATATCTTCCAATAATATACTTTGGAAAATTTTGAATTATGGAGTCAGGACATTTTAGTGTGTCAAAACTACCAATAAAGCAACTAATATCTGATAATACTATAGTTAAAGACTTTAATTAAGAATGAAAGAAAAGTTTAAGGGTAGATCTTTAAGTATGCATTGAATGACTTATTAAAAAGAAGTTTTAATAGGGCTGGGGTTGTGGCTCCATGGTAGAGCACTTGCCTAGCATGTGTGAGGCACTGGGTTCGATTCTCAGTACCATATAAAAAATAAATAAAATAAAGACATGTGTCCATCTATAACTAATAAAAATATTTTTTTTAAAGAACTTTTAATAAAAAGGTTCTAGAAGAAGACTACAGCCAGAACTTTGTTTTCTCTATTAGGGTAGAGGAATCCCTTTCTGGAGCCATAGCAACATTGCTTCTACATCTACTTGTGTCAAAATTGTCATGGTGCCTTGGCCCCCACATTGGACCTTCCAGTTCTAAATCTCAGAATTTTGACCAATTCTGCATTTGGTTCTAATGCAAAGTTAAGTTTGAAAAACCATTGATGTAGAAAAAGTGCAGCGTCATTTAATTGATAAGCATTTAAGAAATCTCCTAAAATAAATAACTGCAATAAGTTTAAAGTGGTTATTTTTAGTATAGGTTTGCCTAAAAGTGTCTTAATTTACTAACAAAAATAGTACTGTGTTTGACAAAACATACAAATGATGTTGAATGGGATGGCACAGAAAAGTGCTTAGCTCCACAAGGGTGATTAGAGTGTGTCTCTGAGTCACAAACATTGATTCTAGTCAAACACATTCATTTGGAACTTGGTAACTTGTAGACAGTGCAGTACTAGAGAAACAGAATTTATACTAAAAATAAAAAACAAAAGCATTCTGATTATTTGGTAATTGTAAGATTAAAACAAATTATGAAATAACTCATGGAATAGAAAGAAGAAGCCAAAATTGGATACCTTGAATTTTATCCCTATTCATGTTTTTCCGTCAATACAACACACACACATGGATTCCTATGTAAGTTTTAGGATGATAAAACAAATGGTTAAGAACTATTCTGTTTAGGAACACTTGAAATTGTTCAACTCTGGGATGAGATTTTGGATACGGTTTTATGGAAACTTTAACAATGACTAATGCAAAGGGACATGTCTAAGATGTTCTGATTAGAGAAAGAAAAAACTGCTCTATACCACAGTGTAATTTTATTATATTTCCCTATTTTCTAAAGACACTGGAATTCTTTCCACCTTATACTTTGGAACTTGAAGCTATTTTATTTTAAAGGTATTTTTCTGGATACTTTTCATCTTTATGGTGAGTGGATCAAGTCTGTCATTAGAATGTATCTTTTAGCACTTCTTGAAAGCTTTGCAACAATGAGTTCAATCATCAAGGAGATCCTTCTGCAAAGGAGATTTACTTTTAAGTTTGCAGATAATAATTTGTTATTGGAGTTTGAACCCATTTCTAAAAATGCAGAAAATTTAGTGGCAAATTAAGGAAAGTGAGGCTAACTCTACCTGGGCACGGCATAAGAGGTGGCATTTGTAGGAAGTGTTCCAGTGAAAATCACCAGGGAAGACAGGAAGAGGGACTTTCCATGTGCAGTAACTAACATTCTTTCAGTACATAGCTATAAAATTAGCACTCTTATTCTTCTTTCACAGCTATCTTAGGTACTATCAATCCTTCATGCTCTTCAAAAAATATTTCCTTTCCCTGATTTTGCACTTATCCTATGTAACAATTAGTCTACATGTCTGCTTTCCTCTCTATACCTAAATATCCTTGACCAAAAGGCCATGACTTATATATTTTTGTGTACCTCTCACTGTGCCTCATAAAGACCAGGCATTAAGAAATAAATATTCATTGAACAAAAGAATTAATAAGAGTTCAAGTATATATTTTCTGCAGTTGTTGACAAATGCAATTGATAACATTTCTGGTGAATTCTATGCAGTGAGAAATATTTTATATAATAATGGAACACATACTACTAAGTGATCTAATTGACACTCATTTTATATACAAACCTATCTATATTGTAATGTTTTGCTTATATCTAGACTCCACTAGTTTTGCTTTAAACAATTTCTCTCTCATTCATTCATTCATTCATTCTTATAACAAATATCTATTGAACTTAAAATGTGTCATCCTCTGTTCTATGGAATATGCATCCAGTGACATCAAATACACATACACCCTCTTGAGACACTGCTTTTGAGACAAAGATCTAGTAAGGAGGAAATACATTAAGCAGATAATTTAAAAAATCATTTCAAATACCGATGAAAGCTATGATGGAAAGATACATAGTACTGTAAAGACCCAAAACAGTTAAGAATTTATCTAGTGTTGGGCTAAGGAAATGCCATTTTAGTGGTGAATTGAATGATGAGTACGAGTCAAGTGCCCAAATGGCTGAATTGGGGTGGCAGTGAGGAATGTGTAGAGATTTTTAGGTAAATAAAATTGGGATATGTGCAGTCCCTTGGGGAATAAAACATGGCATGTTCAAAGAATTGAAAGAGAAGATCAGAATGATTGCAGGGAGAGTGGTAACAGGGTCATAATATTCAGGTAGAGGATGCTGAAGAGGAGCAGAGGGATGTGAGGTAAAGCTGGGACTGCTTGGGGTTAGATAATTAGGGCCTCAAAAAAATCTGTTATAAATTTTGGTTTTCTCCCTGCAAGCAATAGGAAGCCATTGAGACAGAGAGTAGATATGTAATGTGTTGAAAAATTTACTTGTGCTCTATTGAAGGGAAGTGACTAGAAACTTTAGGAAACTCTGATGGAAGGTATTCTGGTAATCCAAATATGAGATGTGGCTTTTAATAAAGGTTGAAGGAAGTACCCTGTATTAGGAATAAATAAAAGTCATGTATTAGAAAATAATTACTTGCCTAATCCTTTTAGGATTTTCTTTTCCAATTTTTGCTCTTTATTGCCAACAGGTTCTTTGACTATGGATGGTTCTTCAGAAGCAAGGGGTTCTCTTTCAGCCTCTTCATTGGTTTCCTCACAGTCCCCATCCTCATTGTCAGGTGCCTCTGCATTTTCAGGCTGCTCCTGTGTTTTGGCAGAGCCTTCTTTTCCTATTGTACTGGCAGCAGATCCATACAAGTTAATGATGTCTTCCAGTTGTCGATTCAACTCTTCGGAGATATCTTGAGCTCCCTTTACAGGGTGCACACTTGTTGCCTGCTCTGGTTCTTGGAGTGAGGTTGAGGAATCCTGACCGTTTTGCTTCCCCAGGCCATTTTGATTAGGTGATGATGAACTGTCTCCTGGCAGAGTTGACTCTTCAGTTGAGAGCTGTTCAGAGTGATTAGTCTCCATACTGGAAGTAGTGTCTAGTGGTAAGGACAGTTAGGTTTTACTTATTAATCCAGTTACATATTAATGGGCAGGATACTTCCCAAATAGGTACCAACTAATATGTTTTCTAAGATATAAAGACTGTACTTTAATAAACTATTGATATCACAATTAGTAAAGTAGAAACAACGGGAAGCCCTTTTTCAAATCAAGTCACATTACCCACATATTTTTTGTTTGATCTACAATTTTCTGTAGCATCTCTTATTATTGATATTAACTGATTAATTTGTGCTGTTGATTTTTGTATTATTTGACATTTTGCTTAGGCCAATTTGTATCATGATTTTCTTATATAATTCTGTATAGAGTTACAATCGTTGAAGATACAGGATATATATGTTTTCCTTCAAAGTTAAAATTGTCAAGAGCCATTGTTCTTATTAAAATCGTTCATAATAATAACATCCCTAAACTCTATTTTGATTTGTAAGTCAAGATTTGATTAGTATGCTTTGATGTGAATGCGTCACTATGCTACTATAGGAGATATTTCTTGGTTTTCTAGTATATGCTTTTTCCCAGATGAGCAGCATGCAGTTATCAATCAACAAAACACTTTTGGAAGATCAAACTAGCATTGCTATTGGAATAAGACAGGGAATGAGGGAAGGTATACCTAAACCAAATAATATGGAAACATAATGATGCCTATATTGTTAATTTCTTACATTTCTGCAATATCCTCTTATTCCACTCTAAAAATTTGACTTTTTTTAAAAAAGAAAATAAATTACAACTTTATTTACTAAGTAATAAAGCTCTAGGAAAATGTAATATTTTTAAAGAAATAGCAGTGCATGATAAGCAGGGAAGAGATGAACTAGAAAAATAATTCAGATATAATATGGGCTGTTCGGGAACAGGCATGAAAGAATGGGCTGAAGATTCTAGAGATTCTGGCCACTATTATTTTTAGGGTTGCAATAAATTTCACTTAGTCCTTTAAGCTGTGGTGCATTTTATTTGTAAATAATATTTAATAATGAAGATGATAATTAGCAGTATAAAACTATGACAAGATTCTCACAATTCACAAGTTTTGCTATTCTGTTGGCAAGAAAATAAAAACAAAAACATACTATTCTCTAAACAGCACAGCTTCCTTCTCCTATTCTCAGGTGAGTAGACATCAAATGCTTGGATGACAATGGGAGGGGAAATTTCAATGCACAGACATTACCACCCACCTATGGCTCTCACCAAATACCCATTAACTTAGAAGGAAGCAAGTTCACCAATTTAATTCATCAACTTGATTATCAAATTATGCAGCCAACAGCTTCATTGTCTTGTCACTGGATTTTTTTTTATCCTGACCTCCACTTATGATGCACATTAATCTATATATAACGTGTGCCTCCTAATCTTGGAGAGATACACATAGCACCTGCTGTCCAGCCAGAGCTATTTTAAGTTCTTCTAAAAATGAATCGTGGCATTTAGCAAGTCATCCTTGAAACCCAAGAAAATAATTTTTAAATCAATTGAAATAGTAAACATTTGCTAGTTTAAAGCCATATGTGGCATTTCAAGTGTTGGAAAGATTATTCTAGGATGAGATAAATCTAAAATAAACCAAATCAAAGTTTAAGGCAATTACTTTAAAACTCTGTCCATATAATTTTACTGTGATTAGACTACATGCAAGTGTTTTGTTTGTATTTGATTTATTCATTTACCAGATACCATAGTCATTGAGGTTTTTAATACTTAGTTCTGTGGATATTTAACTTTAAACTCCTATTCCATATGTATTTTAAAACAGAATACTTGAGTTATTGTAAGCCACAAGACAACTTAATCCCTAAAGAGGCCTTTGTGAAAACACAGTCAAAAAATTTTGTTACTTTTAAATGATCCTTTTTATAGTAACGTATTTTACAACAAAGAAATTATTTCTAAATTTTATCTTCTATAAACTTTATGGGCTCCCACCCTCCTCTGAGAATTTTTCACTTGTACAGGCAGTCCCAGCAAACTATCCCACACACCATGCCTTCCTGAGCCACACATTTTAATTATTCAAATACAACAATGGAAAGTTCTTCAACAGTTCACTGGCAGACTCAAAACTGCAAGTTTGGAACACCGCAAACCGCACCCTTCATCTATCTTCTCACAGGGCCTGGGGGAGTGTTTGTCACACTTACCAGAAGGCAAGGAGCTAAGCAGGAAGAGAAGAGAGAGGAAAGAGGGAGCAAAAAAGCAAGTCGGAGCCGCAGCAACAGCAGGAGCAGGCAGGCGGGTGGCATTCTTACAGGGCTGAGAGAAACCACACACACACACACACACACACACACACACACATATAAACACACACAGCCCACAAGCACAAGGAGGCAGCAGGAGGGGGTGGGGCAGGGAACATGAACATCATATGACATAGTAAGAGAGAATACGAGCAGCTGGTAGAACTTATCAGGCTCTCCATGTTTTGTTTTTTTTAAAAATTTAAATCCTGCTTAGCCCCCTAATGAGTGCAGTTTTTCACCATTGTCATTCTTTTGGATAGAGATCAATTTTTCTTATTTCTTGGTTTATCTCCAGTGTGGTTTATGAGTCATCATTTTTTTTTTCCTTCTGGGGCTAGCCTAATTAGTGTCAGGTTTCCTTACAGAATCATGGAGAAAGAAAAACAGTGGCATAATAAAAAGGAAGTGTCGGAGCCACCTGAATTCTGGTGTCAGTGGTATATTTGCAGAGTTTGAAATAAAAATTTAGATGGTTGTTTTGGCCCCGAGTTTTGTGTAACTTTGATGTGCATGGAAATTGGAACGATCTCAGATCTTCCTCTGGTGATTGTGTTCCCATCTCAGATGAATTCTAAGAGAAGCACTCCACCATGTGCTCCTTGATGGTGGATTGCTTTCACCCTCTATAGCAGATTTTCCACACTTTTCAAGCCATCAATGTTACTTATGCTTCCTCAGAAAATGATTGTCCTCCCCACCAACATACAATGGCTTTCTCTTAATTTGTGTCTACCCTGCTTTTCTTTCTGTTTCTGGAAAATGTGTTTCCACTCTTTTCCAAAGCCTCCATCAAGAGTTTATGCTCTGGGGATAGTGTGGGTACAGTAATGCCCCTTGTGGTAGGGCAGAATAATGCCACCACAGAAACGTCTATGTCCTAATCTCTGCAACCTGTGATTGTTACAATACATGGCAAAAGGCCTCTGCAGATGTGATTAATGATCTTGAGATGAGAGTATTATCCAGAGTTGTCTGGGTAAGCCCACTATAATCACAATATCCTCATAAGTTAAGGAGGGTCAGAATCAAATGTGGGAAAAGGCAAGGGAATGCATTCTCTCCTAGACTCTCCAGAGGTGTGCAATCCTGCTGACAGAAATTGTTTAGATTTTGGACCTCTAGAACTATAAAATAACAATTTTTTTTTTGCTTTAAAGCCACTAAATTTCTGGCAAATTGTCATAGAAATAAAAGGAATTTTAAAAACCCTACTCTCAAACTTTTTCTATTTCTTCTCTTGAGATGAGGGGAGACACAAGTTTTTTATATGGATGAATGAACCTAATAAACAGAGGTTAAGATAAAGAAATTGCAAAGGTGATGACAACAAGGCTGCTTACTGCATTATTTGATAATAAAACTGGTAAATTAAAATTGATGAAAGGAGAAAGTACTTCCTTCTAAGTTAATGAGTACTTGTGAGCACCACAAAGTGGAGGCATTCCATAGGGAATTGTGGCAACTGACCCAATCAGATCTCTACACAAACACAAATAATAAGCCAGTGCTTCTCAAATTTAAGTAATGTACAGATTATTTTAGCAAAGTAACAAATAATATTGAAATTAATTTAAAGAATTAATGTCTGACTGTGATTGAATTAAATTATTATTATTTGTACCAATATGTACTAATATGAAAACAGGTATACCCTTCTTGTGCTTATAGTTATTATATGATATGTATTTTTAAATGCATATTGTTTAAAAACCCTATGAAACCAAAACTATGATTCAAATGGACATAATTACTTTAAAATGACAGATAATGTTTTGTTAAACCCAAATTGCTACTTCGAATGTGAATATGGTAATGACTGCTAGTCCTTTGGAGCTCATGTTATTTTTCTACAATGTGACATAGAAAATGATTCAGTTTCCTCAACTTCCAGTCCATTTAAATGATTACATAAGTTTTATTCATATGACTTGTCATCATCATTTGGACTTCATTGACACTAATATATAATTACTACTAGTTATCATCTGAATGTTTTTGTCTCCCCAAGGTCATGCTATTAGGAGGTGAGTCCTTTGGGAGGTGGTCAAAGGCTAATTCACTGAAGCCCTCATGACAGGGATCAGTGCTTTTATAAAAAAAAAGTCAGAGAACTAAAAACAAAACAAACAAACAAAAAACATCAGAGAGAAAACCCTCACTTCTTCTCCCATCTGGGATTGCAGTGAAAAGATGGCTATCTATGAGGAAGTGAGCCCCCACCAGACACTATATTGCCTGCACCTTGACCTTGGACTTCCCAGATTCTAGAACTATGAGAAATAATTTTCCATTGCTCATAAATCATCCTGCTCATGGTATTTTTGTTATAGTAACCTGAACAGAGTACGACCAAAATGGCAGCTACTCAGATGATGTAGAATAAGCTCATAAATTTTAAATTATAATTCCAATAAATACAAACGTACAAAATTGTAGTTCTTAAGAATACATCTGTGGCCTGATAGGAACCCCAAAACTGGAGAAGGCTGATACAGAAGACAAATTAATAAAGCTCAGAGTTGTATTGTGAAGTCAACCTTAAAAGAGCACAAATTATACTTCTAAGCCTTTTAGTTATGGTAAGGAATAAATTAATTTTTTTGAAAATAACATTTTAATTTTAATGCAAATATTATAGGATAATACCTTTAAAGAATCAATGATGCTAAAAAGCTTGTCATAAGAAAAAAAATAACAAGCTCATCCCACCACCTTCTTCCAACCTTGTTGTGCTCTCCAGAGGTAGTAATATTAAACTGTTGTGGATATTTATTCTGGAACTTACTTTCTCATTTGTTAATAATGTTCATATGGTATCCTTGGAAAATTCCAGGACACCCTCCCTTAACCAAAATCTGTTGATTCTCAAGTCCCTTATATAAAGTGGTGTAGTATTTGTATACCTTGCACATATTGTCCTATGTACTTTAAATCATCTTAGGTTACTTTTAACACCTAATATAATATAAATGCTATGAAAATAGTTGTTATACTGTATTATTTAGGGAAAAAGGATAAAAGAAAAACTGTACATGTTCAAAGGAGATTTTTTTTTTTTTAAGTGCTGGGGATCAAACCCAGGGCCTCATGCATGATAGGCAAGTGCTCTACCTCTGAGCTATACCCCAAGTTCTCAGATTTATTTAAATGTTTTTTTTCTAATATGAAACATATTGAATTGTGGATTTAGAATAAGTAGATATGGAAGGCTAACTATATTGCTGTCAGCTCATCAATTTTTGACATTACCAATTATCTTGCCATGATAATAGATGAAGATTTTGTTATTTAAACTCCCTTTTCCCAATACAATTACATCTCAAATTGTAAATTGTATTCTATGTTTTCATTATTGACATAGTGTTCACTGCTAAACTAAGCAGAACACTGTGATTATAGTTCCATTCTTGTGCAACTTCGTTTTTCCTGGAGTTAATCATTAATTTTCTTTCATTTGCTTAGTAATGAGATTACTCTGTTTTTCTAAACTGCATAAGAACCCTCTAAAATTTCTCTCTATAGTTTTCCCCAAGACCAAATCTGTCAGATAATTTATACATTCTGATATTTTCTTGGCAATTTCATCCCCTTATACAAATAGTCTCAGAGCCTTGCTCTCTTCCTGCAGTCTGATCTAGTAGCCTTCAAGGCCTGTGGTACAATTGGGTGCCTGGTGCTTCCCCTGATGACATCCTGGGAATTCCCTTTAACCCTGCCCTGTTTCCTGGTTCCCATTCTTTCTCCTTCTTAGCTTACTTCCTCATTTGCTAGAATATATCCTCTGGCAGCTTTCTGAGAAAGCATATATGTGAGTCTTTGTCTGAAATGCTTTTGCCACTTATTCTTTGCTACTTATTCTTAATTGATAAGTTGGCTGAATATAAAGTTTTAGGTTGAAAATAATTTCTACAAAAATAATTATGGTCAGAGTATAAGTAATGTCTTTCATTTTCAAATTTTTTCTTAAAAATACAAGGTCATTCTGATGGTTGATCCTTTGCATATGATCTATTTCTTTTTTGCCCTCTGGAACCTTTTAGGATCTCCATCCCTAATGTTCTGAAGTTTTACAATGATAAAATTTGATGTGAATCTTTTTTACATTTATTATGTTGGACACCTAATGGGTTTTTAAAAATATATTTTTAAAAATTTTTAGTTACTGATGGACATAATATCTTTATTTTGTTTACTTTTTTAAAAAGTATTTCTTAGTTGTCAATGGACCTATATTTTATTTATTTTTATGTGGTGCTGAGAATCTAACCCAGTGCCTCATACATGCTAGGCAAGCGCTCTACCACTGAGCCACAACCCCAGCCCTTGCTTACTTGTTTTTATGTGGTGCTGAGGATCGGACCCAGTGCTTCATGTGTGAAGTAAGCACTCTGCCACTGAGCTATAATCCCAGTTCAGACACCTAATGGGTTTTTAATCTGGAGTCTCATTTCTTTCATTTTTTTAATCACCATCTCCTGTTGTCATTGTTCCTAATCCTGCTCCAGGCCTCATATCCCAAAGTCCAGAACATTTTTAGTTAAGCTTCTCATAGAACTATCCCCAACTATTGTGAAAGGGATTTGTTTTTGTGACTTGGGATCTGGGACCCTTCATTCCTAATTCCCAATGTTCCTTACCCTAATTAAAACAAACATCCCAATAGACATCAAGTCATTCACCCAGGCACAGTATCTTTCAACTGTGTCTCCACTTGCTGAGTGTCAACCTCAAATTCCACTCAACTCCTTCTCTGTGAAGCATACTATTTTTTTGTTGAATCATTTACCATTATATCTTTTGTTCTAGTTCTTATTCATTGTGGTTTGGGGTTTGTGGATTCAATTCTGGTTTCCCTGTGTTAGAGTTTCTTTTTCTGCTTCTTGTGTTTTGTGCTGTTTGCTTGTAAATTTTAGCAGAAAAAGGCTAGAAACATCTTTATCCTGCCATTTTGAAGTCAGGAAGATTAGTTTAACCATCATAGTGGTCAAGAAAAAAAAATAAAGTATCCTCCTGAATAAGAAACATTAGTAGTGGAATTATCC